AGGAAGGAAGGAAGGAAGGAAGGAAGGAAGGAAGGAAGGAAAGAAAAAGAAAGAAAGAAAGAAAGAAAGAAAAAAGAAAAAGAGTGCAGCAATTTAGGGCTAGAAGGCTACTCAGATGTTATCTAATCCAACCCCCTGCTGCAGCAGGAAACCTTACATTGTCTGGATTATTTTGGTGCCTCTAATAGACAGGAAAATTGCCAGAAAGGAGAAGGAGTTTACTAGGACAAGACTGCCATGCAGAGGATGGCAGAGATAGTCCTTGACTTAGGACTACAATTGAGTCCAAAATTTTGATTGCTAAGCAAGAGCATTGTGAAGTGAGCTTCACCACATTTTACCCAATCCATGAATCTCTTGGTGAATGACATCAAATTGGTCACACCCACCCAGTCACATGACTGCCAAGCCATGCCCACAAAATAGGCCACTCCCACAGAATAGGTAGTAAAACGTTTTGAAACCCACCCCTGCTTTAGTCTCAGTGTCAATGTGCAGCATCTGAAACTTAGGCTATATAGGTAGGCTCATCTGCATGGATCCTGTCCAGTGGTGAAATTCATTTTTTTTTACTACTGGTTCTCTGAGCGTGGCTTGGTGGCAGGGGAAGGATACTGCAAAATCCCCATTCCCTCCCCACTCCTGGCAGAAGGATACTGCAAAATCCCCATTCCCTCCCCACTCCTGGCAGAAGGAAATAGCAAAATCCCCATTCCCAACCCTACTCTGGGGCCAGCCAGAGGTGGCATTTGCCAGTTCTCCAAACTACTCAAAATTTCTGCTATCATTTCTCCAGAACCTGCTGAATTTCATCCCTGGTCCTGTCCTTCCCACCTGATTCTAAATCAGGCCATATTTGATCGGAGAGAATACACAATTGGCCTTGCCTGCGATCTGTTGGACTTTCTACTGAAGCTTTTATTGAAACCAGTTCAAGATCCCAAAGGGGATGCACAGAGATAACTACCTGCAATTGTCCTTCTTTCACTGAATAGAAACCGATTGAACAGTGTCTTATTGCAGTGACCTCTTTGTATTTGGCCTTTTCACTACTCCCGCTGTTTCCTCCATTGTTTTTAGCTCCTCTGCACCACTTAACTTTACATTAAACTTTATAGCAGACAGTTAGCTATTAACTACCATTAATGCCTGCTTGAGTAACATCTCGTTTCAAGAGCTTTTTCCGACTCTGTATATCTAGGGTTTTTGTAAAGGTGAATAGTCTTATTTATATCTGTGCTTTCTGGAGCTATTTTAGGTTTGTTTTAGTCCTGAAACGACCTGATTTTATTGTAGGTGAGTTTGGCCTATGCCTATGAAACAAAAGATGCTCTCTGCTTGGTTCTGACTCTCATGAATGGTGGAGACTTGAAGTTTCACATCTACCACATGGGGGAAGCAGGATTTGAAGAGCCACGGGCTGTTTTCTACGCGGCTGAAATCTGCTGTGGCTTGGAAGACCTCCACCGAGAGAGGATAGTTTACAGGTGAGAATGCACTTATCTTCTGGGATCTTCTTGGAACTCAGCTGGGGATCATCTCAGAAATACTATCGAGTGCTGTTACTATAAAATTAACAGTTATTGTTCAGAAACTGGGCAAATGCATTTCCTCCCCGAAGGAAGTGAAAATATGTGTTGGCGAAATCTAAGGAAACTAGTTCTGCCTGACCAATATTCCCTCTACCCAAGATATAGATAAATACGTTGTGTGAACATCTTGATGACGTTACTCTTATAAATCCGTGTTCCTCTGCAGGGACTTGAAGCCAGAGAATATTCTACTGGATGACCATGGTGAGTAGATGTTTTTTCACAGACTGTTTGATCCCCCCCATGGGTAAGTTGATGCTACTCCCCTTTTATAGCAAATGAGGGAAATCTGTAAACAAGGCATTCTCACAACTCCTTTTTCCCTAACAAGGTCACATCCGCATTTCTGACCTGGGACTAGCTGTTCACGTTCCGGAAGGACAGACAATAAAAGGCCGGGTTGGAACTGTTGGCTATATGGGTGAGTATCCAAGAAGGGTGTTGACTGGAAACTATGGAAATTCTGAAGCCCATCAAAGCAAGGGCACAATATTTTGTCAGTATGTAACAGGGCAAAACAGGTGAATGTCATCCTAAAGGGCATCTGGGCTTAAGTTTGAATAACTGGTAGAAAGTGGTCGCACATGCTCAATCTTGCAGGGCAGAATAAGGAAATGCATTTGTCGCTTCATTTGCTTCTATTTTGACAATAACTTGCTTGATCCAAATATTTCTCCTTCAGGGTTACCTTTGGACTCCTAGCATTATTTGTTTTGTGGAGCCAACAGAAATATTACGGTACTGGTAAAACAAATAAATCCCTAATGTTTCTGCAGACCTGTTGAAGAAACTGAGGCAGCTACTTGGAATGGTGTTTTCAGGTTGCCCAGAAATAAACTTTCATTTCAAACTTCGGACTGTGGGGGATTTTTAAATATTCAGCTGCAGGGTTGTGTAGAAATGTAGCAGCATTCCTTCCTGCAACATCAGTGCCCAAACCCAGACGCACTGAATTAGAGTAACTTAAACAAGCAGAATTCCATTTGCTATCAACTGTTTTTTGTATATTCTATGCCCCAAACCATCCGGGGGGGTTACAGACTAGAAATACAATTGTAGTTGGAAGAAAATATTCAGACAGCTCAAATTGGCTTGCATTCATCTTCTGAATATTTTGGTAGATATCCCTAAGAGATTGATTACCTTGTACTGCTTAAATGGAGGAAAAGGACTCAACAGTTTTGTGATAATGCTGTGGATACAGTATGGAAATGTTGGAGCCTGTAATTACAATAAGATACAGAAAGAGATGGCTTCTTCTTGCATTTTGTGTTACATCTCTGGATCCCAAGTAAGGGGAAATAGTAAATGCATCCTTTGCTTCTTTCTGCTTCTTCCTTCCAAGTATTCATCTTGCACCACCACCATCCACAGTACAGTAAATATGAAGCTGGGAGAACACAGTACTTTTGGCCAGAGTGCATTAGATTCATTAATCCTAAGAGTTGTCTTATATTGAACTGGGTTGCTGATGTATTAAATTTGGGGTTGTGTATATTGACCAGCAATGACTCTTTAAAATTTCAGGCTTTTGTAGCCCTGTCTAGTACCAAAACACAGGTATTGGTTAGAAGGTACTTGGTTGGGAGCTGACAAGAGTTGGTCATAAGATAAATAGGTAGGTAGGTAGGTAGGTAGGTAGGTAGGTAGGTAGGTAGGTAGGTAGGTAGGTAGGTAGCAGGGGTGGATTCCTGCCTGTTCTAACCTCTTCTATAGAAGAGGTTCCACAAATCTACAGTGCCGTTTAGAA